TTGGTTCTCCCCCAAAACGAAACAGAACATTCAAGACGTCATTGTGAAAGATTAAAGCATAAGAAATGGGGACCCAAACGTGAGGTTTTAGGAATCTAGAACACGTCTTTTAGTAGTGCCCTATGATATTGGAGAAGACACAGCACTAAACGGTTGAATGGTCATGTACGATTGTTTGTGAATGTCCCTCATGTTGCGGAAATGACTTATCACTGTATTACTTGGGGTGTCATGTAGAGAACAAACTTGCAACAGCTGCTTTGGAATGTTGTCAGTTAATATGTACCTACCCTCTCACTCTTGCAGGAGCTTGTAGTGCCGAAGATCAAGTTTGCGCGAGAAGTGTTTTGTAATTTGTGGAGGTTATTTTTCCTAGTGGTGCGTTTGTGAGTATATTGTGCGATGAAATATTTCAAAGAACATCTCCAACTTTGGCAACAATAGTAACTATCAAAACAATTGCAAAACGCCATTCATCGGTCTGTGTTTGTCTGGCAATAACATGCGTTGCAGTGTACGGTGTCTTGAGTTGCAATCATTCCATTTTATTATCGGCCAACGTTATGATCGTAGAAAATGTGCTTCACTAGAGCGATATGTGTACTACCTACAGCGAGTAAATATCGACGATTCAGCTGTCGCTAGAGATGGCAATGTTTAGCAAAACATCAAAACAAGGTTTTCGATGTCGATGAAAACATCGACAATTAATATCGATGTTTAAAATATCAATGTTTTAAATATGGTGAAACATATCGAGTCCTGGTTCTGTTGAAATTCGTAACACGTAAATATCAATTTAAAGTATTTTCTACCTTAAATTTGACTGTCATCTTAATATTCTAATCAATGTTCTATACAGTCCGCGGTGAAATTGCAGTTTAACACTATTAACACGAAAAAATAATTTTAAAAAACTGGTAACAACACTGGAGAAAAGTTGCGAATAGCAAACTGTTTAGTGCTGCCTGGGGATCAACAATAGTGACAGTTATCAGTGCTTGATTGCAAGCAATCCACAAATAAAATAGATGCTAGAAATTTTATTTATATAATGAGAATATTTTTGAAAACATCGAAGTTTCTGCACCAATATATCAATCTGAAGAAATTATCGAAAGCAAAAAACATCCATGTTTTAATATCGATGTTTCCTGCTCGAAAATAAAAGATGTTAAAAACATCCCTAGCTGTTTCACGTAACACCGCTAGCAGAAGGGTTGGCGGGCGTTGGCGTCCCCGCCGCCCCCGCCCCCCCCGCCCCCCGCCGCCCCCCGCCGCCCCCCGCCGCCCCCCCGTCCCGCCGTCCGCCGTCCCCGCCGTCCCGCCGTCCCCGCCGTCCGCCGTCCCCGCCGTCCCGCCCGTCCCGCCGTCCCGCCGTCCCGCCGTCCGCCGTCCGCCGTCCCCGCCGTCCCCGCCGTCCCACCGCCCCACCGCCCCACCGATCCATTGCTTCCGTCGCCACAAACCACGCCCACCCGTTCTATGGGACTACCGCCCCCACCCGCGCCCCGCTGCCCGTTCGACGGCAACACCAACGCGCCATCGCAACCGCCACAACGGCGCGTGAGATCGAGGGCGGGCGGAGGGCGGTTGGCGCGAACTGTCACCAGAGGCGTTTGTCTCCATCAGCGACTTCGGGGCCGCGTCGCGTCGCGTCGCGTCGCGTCGCGCCGCATGCAATGTCCTGTGACAGAATGAGCCCTCCTCGTAATTAGAGGTATCGAGGTGTGGCGGCGCGCGGGAGGGCTCGCCGCGCTTTGTGGCGGCTGGCGGGGACGGATGGGCGGGGCGGGGCGGGGCACAAAAGCGGAATGGGACGAAAGTGCCCGGGCGGGGCGGTGGCGGCGGCGGCTCCCACGCTCTCGAGCCTCCTAGCCGCTCGCGGAGGCGTCAGCAGTTGATCGCCACGAGGCTCTCGCTGGTTGCTGCCTTTCAGTTCTCACGTGTGTTCTTATTGGAGAAACATAAGCGGCGTATCTATATTATTAATTGTCAACGCTTTCAAAAATTGAAAGCGGTCTATGGTCAAATAAGGGCCCCTGCCAGGGTTGCCAAATGTGTTGCGAGCTCTTTCCCCTCCCCTATTACGGAATTTTCTCAAATAACCACTCCAACGAAACAAAATCCCCCACCTTACTAAAGGAAGTCTCTAAATTATGGACCGACATGTGCAGTTCCTGACGATGTCATTAGCTGTTCCCTTAAATTAAGAAAAAAAAAAAAGCAAATCAATCATTGTCTCTAAGCTGCTCCGCGCCTATGTCTTCTTTTTCTCATGTTTTTCTTTCTCCGTGGCTACCTCTTATTGATAATTACAAATGAGAGAATAACATCCGTTTCTTTTTTATTCGTAATAATTAATGGAATAATATTTCTATTTCGACTCCAGATGAAAATAATTCTCTCCCGCGCAAAAAAACATGTCCCCATACATTTGCGTTCCTCTTTCTTTCCCTACAACGAAAAAATCCCCATTTTGGGGACACGATTCCTCAATCTGGCAACCCTGGCCCCTGCACATGAGTGTTACGTTGACGCGCGTCGTGGAATAACAATGTATCTTATACGAAACGGTTGCTTTGGTCGTTCCGTGTATGATACAGTATTAATCTACGGTGATAGTATTTATCGCGCGTGAACGCAACGGGCGTGTGGCACAGACCTAATATATGTCTACGGTTTTGTTACATTATCAGAAACTCGGCAAAAATGCAAAAGCTACGAAAAAGTTTCGATTTTGACTGAAAAGTGAAAATATTTCATTAGACTAGCTGCAATTTATCATTCCTGGTGTTACCACTATACTCTATCACACAGTGCGACATAACCGACGTATTGCGCTGAGGCAGACGTATTAACATATGTGCTCTTTCAACATAGGCAATTTTAGTTGCTCCACAACCCCATTTTCACACACCTGACAATAGCTTTTTTTTTACCAGCCGGTCACTAGTTTCAATTAACATGACAATGATAGTTTTAAGTCTTGAGATATGCATACTTACCTCAATTTTTGAACATAGTCAGTGTTTCAGATTTTAATGTGTATAAACTTTGAGGTGATCAATTTTACATTAAGGTAAATAAAACATGTATTAATTCGTCTTCTTCCACGAAGTTATTTGTTTAGTGTGACTAACGGCATCATACCAATAAAAGAAGATACTCGTAAAACAGATTTAGAAAAATATTTAATTTGAATCCGTTTGAATTTTAGTACACTTCAAAGTGTATGAAAACGATCTAAAGAGTAAACTGGGTTAAATAACGCAATGCAATTGGCATAGAAACGAAACTAATTTCACTTATTTTATGCTTCTTTAATGCTTCCTGGAACCCATTATTTGTTTGATACGTGCCAAAGGCAATACTGACTTTCTGGATGAAGTCCTCTTTGCAAGGAATCGTTCCATTTTTTCTTTTTCTTTGAGATATTTGGGGTAAATTGTTTTGGGTGGCTTAGGAAAATAAGATACCGATTCGCACTGCGTAATATGTTGGTAACAACAATGTATAAGTAGAAGCTTACCGATCTAATGTATGTGTTAGAATTTTATGTGAGTGTTAAAATGTGTTAGGAAATTATGTATTGGAATGTGAGAATATCACGTACTAGAATACGAGCTTGTGAAAGAACCACTGCCCATCAGAGTACGTGCTTGTGGAAGGTGTAGTTTCCAATTTCGCCTCCTAATTACATGCATACGCAATGGAATAGTTCTGGAATGGACGAATTTCTGCCGCGTCCCGTGCGTACGGCGAGCCCAAGTCGGCGCCACGTGGTCTTCCGTGTGCAGCGAGGGCGAGCAGCGCGACGCTGACCGCCAAGAGACTCGGAGCCGCGACGCCAGAGCGCGCTCGCGTGCACTCAGGCCTCTTCGCCCAACAGCGCCCGCGCCGTCGCGCCGCTGCGGCAGTCACCGGCCGGCCACCTCGCGCCGCAGTCAGCAAGAAGCCGGGAGGTTATTCGTTTTAACAGCTAACACACAAAATAACCACACAGATCTCCTTTTATTTATTCTCTGAATTTTTATGTGATTTGGATTCAAATTCTAGAAATGTAATACATTCAATGAAACCCGTGTTAATGTATTTAGTGGTACATATGAAAATTATTTTTTTAATTTTTTTATTTCCTTTGTGTCGAAAATTATAATACATTCAATTAAACATCCCAGGGATTAAAACTGTGTAAGGTGAAATATTTTATATTTCTGGTTTTCTGTATTTCGTAAGGCATTATTGTTTTGAAAATGTTTTCGAGCTTGGTTGATATATTTGGTTTTGATGAGAAAAGAAATTGATAAGTAAATTTCCTTTTCAGTCTTAAAAATAGACTAAATTGATACTTTGTCTTATATTTGCATTTACAGACCAATATTTTCGCAAATAAAATACAAAATTATTTTACTGCTTTCTCTAATGCATATGATATTGAACATGCTATTGAAGAATGCTGAATATTCTTTGCTAGTTATATTGAGAAATCTGTGGAGATCATTTGAAGAATTCCTTTATGCGATAAATAGAACTGATCTGTTGTGTTAATAATTAGAGATACATTAGTTAATTATCCTCTTTTGGCATTTATTGACACATAAAAACTGCTAGTCTCTCATATCTACTTCAAAATTTGTGTTTCTCAGAGATTTATAAATGAGTAAATTTTGTAATCGTGAAATGTGTTTGATATCCTACATATCACATCCAGAATATAAATCTTTCGGACACATACTTTCTTGCATATTTTTGTAAAGATTTCACCTATTCTGCCTCGTTTTCTTACTTTCTCAACACGCGCGTATTATTATAAATTTTTCTTAACCATTAATATTTCTTCTTCACAATTCCAAATCTGAAATGCAAAAAGGGATCATATGACAAGAAAAAATAACAGATTTTTTAAAACATTTTATTAAAATGTGAGAGGTAACTTGCGATAATTAAATGGGAAGTGGGAAATACAGGTGAAATTATTTCGTTTCTATTGTATGTATTTAAACTTTTTTTATTTTGCGAAAATAATTTACATTCTTATGAATTACATTAAACACAGCAACTTTTTCCTCTTTTCTGAAATCAAATTGAAAATACAATGATAAGTATTTACTGTTGCGATATATTATCATGGTCATCGAAAATGTAAGTCTTTCAGGAATTTGTTGCGGCCGTTTAGAGATCAGAACAGACACGGTGGCTCCCAGTGCAGCATTCTGGACCAGTTTAAGGCTAGGGTCAAATTAATTTCAAAATATCTATCAGTACAATACAAATAAGTTGGCTCAGTTGCATATCGGAGAAATGACATTTTATTTGGCTGCCTCTGTCATCTCGAGATGTCGTTTTGCACCAGAAGAGAAATTTGTTTTTATCATCAGTGAATATTTGAAGTCGCGTTAGAAATTGGAATAATAGGCCAGAATGCTTGGAGTGTGAAGTTTGCCGATAGAGTGATACTATTTTTGGCAATTTGATTCAGAGTTGTATAGTCGCAAAACAGATAAAATATTTATTAATAATATTTGTCTCATTGTTTAAAATTTCTCTTGAAAAACGTTTATAATAAAACTTGTATAATGAAAAGTAAAAGTTACCCAAAATTTTAGATATTAAATATGTATAGATGATTTAAAAATAACTCAAAAGTGATTCATAAGTAGCAACATTTTTCAAAAATGTATTAAATTTACTTCACGCATACATTTTAATTGAGAAATTTGCACACATCACTGTCGTGATGATATAAACGGACGCAAGTGTAACAAATGACTCTGGCCATTAGGAAACATGCTAATTGTTTCAAATATCAAAGAAATAACAAATCTGCTACAGGCTACGAGCTCTAGACTTGTTATGATGAGCAAAGTGCCCAAAAAGAGCTGAAATACGCGAAATGTTCACATATTTTCCCATAGAGCGGGCCCAGTAAACTGTCATATACATGATTAAAATTCTGAAATTACTTTCGTTTGTTTCGGAAGCAAATGCATTCGCTGTTGTGGGCACAATGACAACTCCCCCCCCCCCCCCTGGCTCGAAAAAGGACAAACATTAGCGTGCATATTGCGTATATGAAATACAAAGTCCGCCGAGAGAATTACAATTTTCATAACTATACGTTCAACATTAACTTAGCCTAAGTGCACAGAAGTGATGCGCATTCTTTCAACGGCCCAGCCGCAGCGCATAGGCGCAATTGTTCGCAGAGTCCACACGCGTATATTTGCGAATGTCGGGCAGCCATCATTGAATTCTCGCAAACAGCGGCGCGGCCCTGCGCGGGGCGAGGCGGGGCGGCGCGGGGCGGGGCGAGGCGCGGAGGGCACGCCCGCTTTGTTTTTATTGCTCCCCCTCCTGTTTATTGCAACATTGGACAACAGGCACAATGTCCTCGCGTACGCTGCCCCCATAGTTCGCGTATAAACAAACTCTCTGGATGTATTTGTCAAACGCAATCTGTTGGCGATGATTTTAATCTAATTTTGCTAATGAATGCGCCCGCCCCCCCCCCTCTAGCGCGCGCCCCGCCCACGCCTCTATTACACACTCAGCCCTCGCGCGCGCGACGCGCCTAGTGTTTCGGGAAAAACTAATTATCACTGCCAACTATGCGATGATGTTTCCAGCCGTTGCTGCCCCGACCCGTGTCCCCCAGCTACGGGCAGCGGCGGGGCGGGCTAGGTGGGGCGCGACCCATGAGGCGGACGAAACAGGGACGGCATGCAGGGTAGAGTGTGTGGGCGGAAAGTCGGGGTTTGTGGGACGGGTGGGGAGTTTCGAATTGGCGGGACGGGATGAAGAAGAAGCGCTGTGGAAACGTGGGAGATATCTGGGGTTTCGGGAGGGACGGGAGAAACAAACGGACATGTGGAGTGGTTTGGACGGATGTGAAAACACAACGATTAGAAAGGTCGGGCTTGACGGGGAGTGCGGGACGTGGTAAATGGAATGAAAGTGACGGAGATGGGTGTGGGTGTGGGGGAGGTGAATGTGTGAATGACGGGTGACTGAAAGTGGGAGCAGGGTGGAAGTGAGATGGGTGAGGTGGGTGGCGAGCTCTGAAGGAAGGTTAGGCGGGGAGTACGGGAGAAGCACGACTGGCCGAGCGATTGAGTGTGAAAGAGACGAATGTGGGTGTGAAGGAGGTGAGGATGAGAGTGATTGGGATCGTAGCCCGGAGGTCGGGTGAGGCGGGGTGGGGAGAGGGGGGGAC